GGGACGGCGAAAAGCATGCTGGGTGGGGACCCAGGAGATAAGGCCTCCAGCTTCGGCACCATGTCCTTCTCGGCTACGGTGACCAGACGTCCCGCTTTTGGCGGGACAGTCCCGATTTTTAACAATTTGTCCCACGTCCCGAGGCGTTTTAAAACAGTCAGCTGATTTCTCAACAGAAACCATGCAGGTCAGACGGGAATGGCAAGAAATATTCAAGGTGATGAGTAGTAAGAACCTACAGCCAAAGATAATCTACCCAGCAAAGCTATCACTCAGAATCGAAGGCCCGATAAAGAGCTTCACCAATAAAAGATGAAAAAAAAAGCTAAAGCAGTTCATCACCAAACCAGAATTATATGAATTGCTGAAGGGGGTTCTTTCGGAAGAGAAAGTAAATAAAGATAAAAACTATGAACAACAAATAAGTAACTATCAACAAGTGAATCTAAAAGCCAAGGGAATTTAAAAAAAATCTGATGAACAATATTAACTGTTGAATATAATAGAATCAGAGGTATGGAAGGGGAGTGACCTGACGATTCTCGGGGAAAAGGGGAGTGGGGGGTGTGGGAAGAGACTGAACATAAACTGTGCACCTATGGATGAGGACAATGGGAAGTGGGGAAAGGGCAGAGGGTGGGGTGGGAACCTGGTGGAGGGGAGCAAGGGAGGGGGGAGGGAAAGAGGAACATTTGTAATAATATAAACAATAAAGATTTATTTTTAAAAAATTAATTAAAAAAAAAAGTCCTAAATCTTTCCAAAAATCGGGACTTTTTTAAAACGTCTGGTCACCTTATTCTGGGCGCTCTGGAGGAAGTGACCACAATTCCAGTGCTCTGAGAAAGCCTCAGTGTGTCTTCCTGCTCCCACGACACAGAAAAGGCGCGGCCGCGGAGCAAGGAGGCTCACACCGTCTTCGTGGCCGAATTCACAGGACACCTTCCTTCAGTCCGACAGCCACGTCACACCGCGTCCGACGGGCATCTGAGTCAGACGGAGCGCTTCCGTGTGTGACTTCACTCCTGTGGACGTCAACCCTCAGGCCTCGGAAATATTTCCAGAACAAGTCCTCCCCTACCGTCCCCACATCCCCGGCTCTCTCTCTTGCATTACGGTGCATTTATATTTGGGTTTTTCTGATGACGGCTGATAATGCCACGCTGACAGACATAATCCCGTTGCCATGGTTACGCATCAACAAACAGGGCCGGGTGGTGAAGGAGCCACGGGTGGATGTGAGGGGCTAAGCATGCGCCCAAGGAGGAGGACGGAGAGTGACACAACAGCAGATCAAGCCAAGTCCCTCGTCTTCGGAGAACTACGTAAAGTGGATGTTTACTGATGCTGCTATTTCACTTGTTTAAACGCCCCAGACCACATGGGAAAGAAATGAGAGGGGGAAAAAAAAAAGATTGAACCAAAACTGGTTTGGCTCAGTGGATAGAGCGTCGGCCTGAGGACTGAAAGGTCCCAGGTTCGATTCCCATCAAGGGCATGTACCTTGATTGCGGGCACATCCCCGGTAGGGGGTGTGCAGGAGGCAGCTGGTCGATGTTTCTCTCCCATCGATGTTTCTAGCTCTCTATCCCTCTCCCTTCCTCTCTGTAAAAAATCAATAAAATACACTTAAAAAAAATAAAAGTGAGACTGAGAATTTGGACCAACAACGGTCGAGGGTACTCAGCACCCTAAGGTGCCGAGGACTTCTTCACGCAGCTCAGCTAGGGCTGCGAGCCTGGCAGCTGCATGCAATCCTCGGCGGGAGGCTCGATGAGGGATTCCTTGGAGTCCCGAGGAGGCTTTGTGGTCGCCAACAGGCTGGTCAGCTGTGACCGGATCATGCCAGCAGTAACCACCTCAAATGACAGCAGTAACACAGCATTTCCTCTCCTCTGGCCGTGCTCCTGCAGCTTCCGAGATCAGAGCCCATCAGGTACGTGGGGGAGGGCCTGCGCGCTGCGCCACAGAGCGAGCGAGCGAGCGAGCGACGGGACCCTGGGCTCAGCCCAGCTCCCAGAACCCCCGGAGTCCAGTCCGCAGAGGAGAGCCAGGCGGACAGCCATGCTCCAGCCCTGCCGGGCCCTCCGTCTACATGCACACACAGCGGCAGAGAACCCAGGACCATCTCCAGAGGGGAAGCCCTGCCGAAACCGGTTTGGCTCCCTGGATAGACTGTAGGGGTGTCGAACTCAATCAGAGAAGGGGCCAAAATCTAAAATCCAGCCTAAATCGCGGGCCAAATGGTTTACTGAACAGTCATAAACTGTCATTGTGATGGAAACGCAGCGGAGTGCAGTGATGACAGCGCGGTGCGGGCCACATTTCAAGGCCTGGCGGGACGGATTTGGCCCGCGGGCCTTGTGTTTGACACATGTGGGATAGAGCATCAGCCTGCGGACTGAAAGGTCCCAGGTTCGATTCCGGTCAAGGGCATGTACCTTGGTTGCGGGCACATCCCCATTGGGGGGTGTGCAAGAGGCAGCTGGTCGATGATTCTCTCTTATCGATGTTTCTAACTATCCTTCTCTCTTCCTCTCTGTAAAAATTCAATAATATATATATATAAATTTTTTTTTAAGGGGGTAAGCCTGCTCTTGTGAGGCAAGGCCGCTGACCCTGGAGGAAATGGAAGCAGGACAGACAGAAAACCGATTCCCACAGGAAACCGTCTGATCCCTTCTCATGCTCAGTGCCAAGACCCATCCCTGTCATCACCCGAGCAGCACGGGGGGGAGGGGCGGCCGGGCGGCCGGGCGGCCGGGCGGCCGGGCTGGGGCCACCGCGGAGCCGGCACAGCTCACTGGGCTCTCGATGACACTCTGGTCCGTCGGTGCCTCTAGCGGGGACGGGGTGACAGGTGTGGGCCTGAGGAGGCAAAGCATCAACGATCCTCTCTCATCGTTGATGTTTCCGTCTCTCTCCCTCTCCCTTCCTCTCTGAGATCAATAAAAATATATATTTTTTAAAAGGAACTTGATATGTACACATATGATACCTTAATAAAAAAATGAAAAATATAAAAATAAAAATATTATTTCAAAAAAATAAAATAAAATTTCTTGCTTCTAAAAAAGTTAATTAAATTTTAGAAATCAATAAAAACGGAACTTGAACTAAAGACATGACAAATCTTTTCTTAACGTGGGAAGGGCTATATCGGAAATCGTAACACAATCAACGTCCACGGAGCAAAACAACGGGCTGCGATTCCCACTGGAAGACACCGGTGCCTTCGGAGGGTCCCCTGCGCAGAGCGGCTGGCTTCCCGTGACGTCACAGGCCCTGGGCGCACAAATGGGAAAATGAGGCGCACTTTCTCCGGGAGCCATTCCCGAGCATCCCAGCAGGGCAGCCGCGCCTGATGTTTTCACCAAAACAACCAGAAGGCTCCAGAAGCTTCTCGGGTGGAGTTTGCGACGTCTGAGAGCCTCCACTTCCCAGGCAGGACTGGTGGGGACCCAGCTCCAGAGGCCCTGAGCCCGGTCCTCCGCCTCAGGGTCCCTCCTCCCACAGTGCTCCACCTCTGACTCCCTCTGCCCACCTGTAAACACGGGTCAAGCACAGACACTTGTCTCAAGATTGGCTAAAGGGCAAAGAGTACCAAACACGACTTTGCAAAGTTCCAATGGTCCCTGTGACTTATTCATAAAGAACTACAATGGCCTGGTAAGCAGCTGGATGTGACGGATAACACTGGTGTTGTTTACAGCAGTGTTTTTCAACCTTTTTTGGGCAAAGGCACACTTGTTTCATGAAAAAAATCACGAGGCACACCACCATTAGAAAATGTTAAAAAATTTAACTCTGTGCCTATATTGACTATATATAAAGTAATTCTCTTGAATAGGAATCAAATAAACACAAAGAAAGTATTTTATAATTACTTTATTATGAAATATTAAGTAAACAAAATAGTGAAAAATTATAAAATTCTTGTCTTGTCTGCACCTACGGCACACCAGGCAACATCTCTCGACACACTACAGCGGTTGAAAAACGCTGGTTTACAGTAATCCTGTCTTCTCTTCCAGGAGGTGCCCTGGGGCGGTGAGTAAGGCCTCCAGCTGCAGATCTCACCGGTGTGAGCTGGGCCGCTGTGGGCAGGTCACCTCTCTGTAAAGCCAGTCCTAAAAGGGAACTTGTAAAAAAACAGGGGCGGGAGACGTATATAAGGTCTGAGGAACCACCTGGTCTGGCGCTGCCAAGGCATGAGGGGTGAGTTAATGAAATGTTTGACCAAACAGAGTGGGCTGACTTTTAGGCTGGATGATGGTGTGTGGCCCGGCAATGATGTGACAAATATCCACACGGCCCTGGGCAGAAAGAAGGTTCCGCCCCTGCAAGCCTCCTTCCGAGGTGTGAAAACTGCCAGGGGTGCAAAGCTGGGCCCTGGCCTCTGGTCCTTTCCTGGACGAGGGAGTGGGGGAGGGAGGGGAGGGGAGGGAGGACGGAGTTGGGGAGGGAGGGGAGGGGAGGGGGAGGGGAGGGGAGGGGAGGGGAGGGAGGACTAAGTGGGGGAGGGAGGAGAGGGGAAGGAGGGAGGAGTGGGGGAGGGAGGGGAGGAGAGGGAGGGGAGGGGGGCTTGTTACAGACCCTCTCCCTTATGGCCTGGGATGAAAGGGCCCCTGGGCTCGGTGGGAGGTGGCCAGCCCCAGGCGGGCCTCGCAGTTCTATGGCTCCTTTCTCTGGAAAAGCTCTCAGTGTTTTATGAGCCTTGCCACAGACTTCCTGTCCGCGTCCCCTCCGGACCCAACACAGGGCCCCTTTATGGTCTGCACGCCTCAGAGGGGGAACGCAACGCCGTCCGGCCGCCTCACTCCTCCGAGGGGGAGGGGGAGGACGCCCCCACGGAACGGACGCCGAGTTTATTTTATTTATTTAATATATTTTACTGATTTTTTTACAGAGAGGAAGGGAGAGGGATAGAGAGTTAGAAACATCGATGGGAGAGAAACATCGACCAGCTGCCTCTTGCACACATCCCACCTTGGATGCGCCCGCAACCAAGGTCCATGCCCTTGACCGGAATCGAACCTGCGACCTTTCAGTCCACAGACCGACGCTCTATCCTCTGAGCCACACCGGTTTCGGCAGGAGCTGGGTTTTAAAGAAAACTCCGAAAGTCTGACTTCCGGGGCGCGGGAAGGCGGTGGGCACCTGGCGGGGGCGTTGGCCAGGGAAGGGCTGTAAACGCCCCGTTTGGGAGAAGTGGGCAGGACCACCCTGCTCCTGGGACCGCGGAGAGTGGGCAGGCCGGAGGGGACAGGAGCTGCGCGCACACACACACACACCCCACACACACACACCCCACACACACACATACACCATACACACCACACACACCCCATACACACACCCTATACACACACACACACACACCCCACACACACACATACACCATACACACCACACACACCCCACACACACACACCCTATACACACACACACACACACACCACACACACACCACACACACTCACCCCATACACACACACACACACACACCCCACACACACACATACACCATACACACACCACACACACCCCACACATACACCATACACACCACACACACCCCACACACACACCCCATACACACACACACACACACACACCCCACACACACATACACCATACACACCACACACACCCCACACACACACCACACACCCCACACACACACCCCACACACACACCCTATACACACACACACACACACACCCCACACACACATACACCATACACACCACACACACCCCACACACACACCACACACACACACCCCACACACACACCCCACACACACACACATACACCATACACACCCTATACACACACCACACACACATACACCATACACATCACACACACACACCCCACACACACACCCTATACACACACACACACACACACACACACACATACACCATACACACCCTACACACACACACACACACACACACACACACACACCACACCACCCACACACACACACACACACACTGGGTTTGCTCCATGGACAGAGCCCTGTCCGTCGTCCCCCACGCACCAGGGGCGTGGGAAACGGCGCTTCCAGAGGCTCCCACTCCCACCGGGCAAAGCCAAAGGCAGACCTCCCTCCGCCCCGCCCGGGGACCAGGCCCCGAGGCAGTGAAAGGTGGCGGCAGGGCAGCGTCTTTTGAAAATGACCCTCAGGGCCCAGCGGTGGTGACTCAGCGGCTGAGCATCAGCCTGTGACCCTGGAGGGCAGGTCCGATCCCCACGGGGCACGTGCCTGCGTTGCAGGGTTTGATCCCAGCGTAGGGCGCGCAGGAGGCAGCTCATCAACGATCCTCTCTCGTCGTGGATGTTTCTATCTCTCACTCCCTCCTCTCCCTTCCTCTTTGAGATCAATATATATATATATATATAATTTATTTTTTAATAGATTTTATTGATTCTTTACAGGGAGGAAGGGAGAGGAATAGAGTTAGAAACATCGATGAGAGAGAAGCATCCATCAGCTGCCTCCTGAACACCCCCCACTGGGGATGTGCCCGCAACCAAGGTACATGCCCTTGACGGGAATCGAACCCGGAACGTTTCAGTCTGCAGGTCAAACTGGTTTCGGCTATCTGATTTATTTTTTAATGAGGCCCCATGAAAGGGCACAAAGGTGGACAACGCACGTGGCCTAAAGGGGAGCAGGCCCCGGCCTGAGGAGGATGTGGGCAGCCGTGGTCCCCGGCCGCACCGCTGCGGGCAGCCCAGGTGGGGTGGATGGGAGGCTGTTTGCTGGGCAGTGCCCTCCGTCCCTCTGTGCCCCTCGGCTTCCAAACACCACTATGCGCTCCAAGGCCCAGGAGCCGCTGTGGGCATGGCTCAGGCGGACTCTAAGGGCACTTATCAGATGGGTTCACACAAAGAAACTGGTGTGGCTCAGTGGATAGAGCGTCAGCCTGCGGACTGAAAGGTCCCAGGTTTGATTCTGGTCAAAGGCATGTACCCTGATTGTGGGCACATCCCCAGTTTCGGGGGGGGGGGGGGGGGTTTGCAGGAGGCAGCTGATTGATGATTCTCTCTCATTGATGTTTCTAGCTCTCTATCTTTCTCTCTTCCTCTCTGTAAAAAAAAATATCAAGAAAATAAAAAAGTGGGGGGAAAAGGATGAGCAAACGCAGCCAGGAGAAACGGAACAGCGTCTTCCAGGCAGAGGGCTGCTCCTGGCATTCCCGACCGCGAGCCCTCGCCGGAAGGAGGATGGCACGCATCCTGCTGTATCCGGTACATCTCCGAGGCTCTTGGTCTTCCTGATGAACGGAGGCAATTCGAGGGATCCACCCCCCGCGCTCCTGCAGAATAGATGCCCATGTGGAAACGGTCCTCCCATAAACACAGCGTGACCGGCATCGCCTCCCACCCGCCTCAGCCAGAAGGAAGCGCATTCAGACAGAGGAGGAAGGGGAGCGCGGGCTCTCCCTCTGTAATCACTCACGGGGGAGGGGAGACCAGCATCCCATCGGAGCCACAGAGCCGCGCTTTAAGTGAGCAATTTCCACCCTCGATGCTGCCTACCACTGCTGATGACACCAATTAATTAGAGTGGTGCATCTGGAGCCTGCTAATTTTCCGCTATCAGGCATAAAGCACCTCTAATAAATGTTTATTGGGTGACTTTTTTTTTCCAAGTCTACACACTTGCTGAGTAGAAAATCACAATCATAATAATTGACGGGGAAGGGTTCTGCAATGTCTCGTGTCTGGTTTTTTTTTTTTCCGATGAGAGTTTTC